GCTCGAGCAATGCGGATGGCGCTCCGAGCCAAGAAGAAGATCGAATTTCTCGATGGGACTATATCTCAGCCCACAGATGATTCACCAGAATTAGAAGATTGGTGGACTGTAAACTTGATGCTGGTTTCCTGGATCTTCAACACAATAGAACTGAGCCTGCGTTCTACGATCACGTATATGGAGGTCGTGAAGGATCTATGGGATGACATCAGAGAACGGTTTTCAGTAGGCAATGGGCCAAGAGTTCAGCAACTCAAGGCAGATCTCACGAACAACAAACAAGCCAGTCTCCCAATCGTGACATATTATGGCAAACTGAAACAAATATGGGAAGAACTTGCTAATTACGAGCAAATTCCAACATGCGTCTGTGCAGGTTGTAACTGTAATATTGTTGCAAAGCTGGAGAAGAGACGAGAAGAAGAAAGAGTCCATTAGTTTCTAATGGGCTTAGATGACACAGTATATGGAACAGTGCGTTCCAATATTCTGGGCACTGATCCGCTGCCAAACTTGAACAAAGCCTATGCCATGGTAATACAAGAGAAGCGGCTGAGAACCAAGACCCGCGGCAAAGAGGAAAAAAGAGAGGCGATGAGCTTTGCTGCACAAGCACAAGGTGGCACAAAAAGAATGGGACACGACACAAAAGAGAAATCTGGAGTGTGCACAAACTGCAGACGAACAGGACATGAGGCTGAGATTTGCTTTCAACACATCGGCTACCCGGACTGGTGGGGGGATCGGGCGAGATCTACTGGAAATGGGAAAGCTCAAGGCCGAGGAACACAAGGCAAAACTGGTCGTGGACATGGAGGCGTACAGAGAGCAAATGCTGCGCAAGCGGTAGGGCAAACTTCTGAACCAATCCACGTGACAGAAGGAGATCGTACAACATTCGGTGGATTGACTAATGAACAGTGGTAAACTTTTCTTAATCTCTTGATTTCTTGCAAACCCAGCACAAGTGAAAAGTTAACAGGTTTGAATTGGATAATTGATACAGGAGCCTCACACCATATGACTGGGAACTTGGATCACTTGCATGATACCGAGACCGTGACTGGTTGTCAGGTTGGATTGCCCGATGGAAAGTGTGTCATGGCAATAAAGAAAGGGACCGTCATTTTAAATAAACACATGAAGCTTACTAATGTGCTTTATGTTCATCGTTTGAATTGTAACCTGATATCTGTGTCGCAATTATTAGARGARTCRAATTGTAATATCCAATTCMCTAATAARTTTTGTGTTATACAGGACTGCACTTCGAGGATGGTGATTGGTGTGGGTGAACTACGCGGAGGGCTCTACTGCTTCAAAGGTGCATACTCAAGCAAAGTTCATAAAGCAGAGGTCGAAGCTTCATACGAGTTATGGTACAAGAGAATGGGTCATCCCTCCGAGAAAGTAATTAAACTTCTTCCTAATTTGAACATTAGATGTTGTAGTGGAAATCGGATTTGTGGTGTTTGTTCAAAAGCCAAACAGACAAGAGGTACGTTTGATTCTAGTGAAAATAATGCTAAAGGGACTTTCAATTTGATTCATTGTGATTTATGGGGTCCGTACTCTGTACGGACGTCTTGTGGTGCCTCGTATTTTTTGACTATTGTTGACGATTTCTCGCGAGCTGTTTGGATTTTCTTACTTAATGACAAAAGTGAAGTGAGCAAAACGCTGCGGAACTTCTTCACTATGGTTAAACGCCAATATGAAAAATTGGTGAAGATAGTTAGAAGCGATAATGGTACTGAATTTACTTGCTTAAAGGAATATTTTTCTGAGCAAGGTATAATACATCAGACCTCATGTGTTGAAACACCGCAACAGAACGAACGTGTCGAGAGAAAGCATAGACATGTACTAAATGTTGCGAGAGCCCTTAGATTTCAGGCTAATCTCCCTATTGAGTTTTGGGGAGAGTATGTTATAACGGCCGGTTATCTGATCAACAAGACCCCCTCCACTCTCTTTTTGGGAAAATCACCGTATGAGATGTTGTATAGGCAGAATCCAAGCTACAAACATATACGAACGTTTGGGTGTTTGTGTTATGCGCGAAGCCTAAATCGTAGTAGGGATAAGTTTGCTAGTAGAGCCATACGTTGTGTCTTTGTGGGATACCCCTTTGGGAAGAAGGGGTGGAGAGTTTATGACTTAGAAACCGATGAATATTTTGTTTCCAGGGATGTGGTGTTTTCAGAAATTGAGTTTCCCTATGCTATTGAAGAAAAACAAGTCGAACACGGACACAATGATGGTAATCTTCAATATAACCAGGTGGAGACTGAAGTGTATGACGAGGAGGATAATAAAAGTAAAAGAGAGGGAGAACAAAGCGACAGGTATGAAAATAATGAAGGGGAGCATGATGTAAGGGGGGCTCAGTGGAAGAAACAAATGCAGGGAGTGAGCAACTTGGACGAGGCCATAGAATGAAGCATCCTTCCAGTCGTCTCAAGGACTACGTCATATACACTACATGGTGTTCTAACCACAATCTGAGCCCCTCTGCTAGTTCATCTCGCCAATCTCACTCCTCAGGTACTCCCTATCCTATAACACAGTATGTGAATTGTGATAAATTTTTTTTGCGACACCGCTCTTTCTTTGCAGTTGTCACAACTAGTCATGAGCCCTAGAGTTATTTAGAGGCTGTCAAGGACTCTCGTTGGAGAGAGGCAATGAGAAAGGAAATTGAAGCTTTAGAAAACAATAGAACATGGACAGTGGTAGACTTGCCACCAGGGAAGAAGGCTCTCGGAAGTAAGTGGGTCTACAAGATAAAGTACAACTCAGATGTCACAATAGAGCGGTACAAGGCGCGTTTGGTGATCTTCGGAAACAAACAGGTTGAAGGGATTGACTACAATGAAACGTTTGCACCTGTGGCAAAGATGGTTACAGTTCGGACAATCCTTGCAGTTGTTGCGGCTAGAAACTGGGAACTGCGTCAGATGGATGTGCAGAACGCATTTCTCCATGGAGATCTGCAAGAAGAAGTGTATATGAAGATGCCTCCTGGATTTGCTTCAAGACTACCTGGAAAGGTGTGCAAGCTGCACAAGTTGCTTTATGGTTTGAAACAAGCTCCTCGTTGCTGGTTTGCTAAACTCACGGGAGCCTTGAAACAATATGGCTTTACCCAGTCACAATCTGATTACTCATTGTTTACGCTTCGACGGAAGCACGAACAGTTAAATATTTTGGTTTACGTGGACGATCTTGTCATCTTTGGAAATAACGGCAATGCCATTTTGAGATTCAAGAAGTATCTCAGCCAATGCTTCCACATGAAGGACTTGGGAACTTTGAAATGCTTTTTAGGAGTGGAGGTTGCCAGAAGCTAGAAAGGTATTTTTCTTTGTCAGCAGAAGTACGCGTTGGATATCATATCAGAAACTGGTTTGTTAGGCGCTAAGCCAGCTAGACTTCCCCTATAACAAAATCATAAACTAGCTCTGGCAGATGGTCCTCAGATGATAAAGCCGGAGAGTTATAGGAGGCTAGTGGGTTGTTTAATTTACTTGACCATTACCCGTCCTGAATTGTCCTATTGTGTGCATGTGCTCGCTCAATTTATGCAGAACCTCGTGAAGAACACTGGGAGGCGGCTTTGCGAGTGGTGCGATATTTGAAAGGTGACCCGGGACAGGGAATTTTCCTTCCAGCTGACAGTGATCTTCGATTGTATGCCTACTGTGACTCTGACTGGGCCGGGTTTCCACTGACACAACGCTCTCTCACAGGAAACTTTGTTTTATTGGGCCGAACACCTATATCGTGGAAGACAAATAAGCAACTTACAGTGTCTAGATCATCAATTGAGGCGGAATACAGGTTTATGGCAACAGCTACATGTGAATTGAAATGGTTAAAAGGGTTGTTGCATTTATTAGGAGTTGATCATCTTGACCCTATGCGGTTATACTGTGATAGTCAAGCAACCTTGCATATCGTTGCGAATCCGGTCTTCCATGAGAGGACTAAACACATTGAAGTAGACTGTCACTTTGTCCGCGGTGAGATCCAGAATGGGAATATATAGCCTTCCTACTTCCGGACTTCAGAGCAACTTGCCGATATATTTACAAAGGCCCTGGGCAGACAACAATTCGAACATCTTCTTGCCAAGTTGGGCATTTCCCATTTACATGCTCCAACCTGAGGGGGGTATTAAGCAGGCGAGCCTTATCTTAGAATCGCCTTATCCTCTGTAAACCTTATCCTTATCTCCCTTCGACTGTAGTTTCTCAAGATGCATTGATCTCTCCTGCAACTTAGTTGAAACCAGCAGGTGACGTGCTCTTTCCAAACTTTCCGATCGATCTGGTATGACCGGCATCGGTGAAAGCCCGGTGTCTTCATTTGATTGTTTCCTTCACCATCACCGCCTCACCGGTGAGTGTGGACATTAGCGTTAACCCAAGAGTCAAGAGAGACTAGAGACGGTCTCTGTGTTGCTTTATACGTTTATTCCAAAGATGGAGGCTTTTGTTTTGTTAGGACCAAATCCAAAACCTACGATGGGTTTAAGTAATTTACCTAAATTATGATTAATTATATAGTTTTTTGTTTTTGGCTAAAAGAATTATTATTATATAATTACACTAAAATTCAATAATAAATCAAGAAGAATGAAAAGAAAGAACAAAAGGAATAGAAGCCAGAAAGCGGAGACGGACGGTTGTACTTGTACAACACGCGTAGCACTCACTACTAGCTTAGCTGTGCCTATATAGAAAGACACTAGACAGATAGATATTGAGATCACATCTACTGATTCTACTCGACGCATTATTGGAATCAGAACGAGGACGTCGAGCGAGCCGAGGAGGACCAGGACTTCTCCATGGCTCCATGTGGTTTTAGACAATGTGGTGTGGTGTGCCATGTACTCATGTGTGCTCCTTAATATTTTTTTTTTGTTTGAAAATAAAAAGAAAAATTACGTTAAAAATATAAAATACAAAAGCAAAAGTTACGAACATAAACTCAACAGACCATCACCAGACTACTACTCGATTCCCCCCTAACCTTCTCCCTATATAAACACAATACGGCGGTCTCTGATTATCTCTTGGCTCGCGTTGCAGCTTGTGAACCTCCCCCCCTCCTCCGCTCCTCCAAACGCTTCCAAGTCATAACCAGTCTCTCCTTCCATCTCTTCCTTCGCTCCATTTCTATCTCTATCATATAACCTTTCTCTTTCTCGCTGATGGCTGCAGCGACCCAAGCAAGCCTTCTGCTTCACAAACAGTTGAAAGGTTTTCGTCGAATTCTTTCTTCTCTTGCATATATTTTTATAACCATTTTCTAGGGTTTTGTTTTGAATCAAGATATGGGTCTGATTCTTTCTTGTTTGTCTGCACAGATCTTTGTAAAAACCCGGTCGATGGCTTCTCCGCCGGTTTGGTAGATGACAGTAATATATTCGAATGGAGCGTCACCATTATCGGGCCTCCTGATACTCTTTAGTAAGCAATCTCGCCTCCGTCACTTCAACGGTTCATTTTTTTCTCCCTCGATTTGCATGATTCCTCGGGTTTATCTCCGTTGTTTGATGATCGGTTTCATGATTTCTTTGTTTGGATGAAAACGCTTGAGCTTTTTGAGATTTATCCTATCTTTGGTTGATTGTATGTTTATTTTGTTTTTGTGTCCTGGTTGATTCAACTGTTTTCTTTAACTCTCAATGCTACCGGGCCCTGATGTCGGTTTGTCGGCGTTTTCCCTGATCTAGGGTTCTCAGATATGTTAAGGATCCTAAATTTCTTTGATTTTCCATGTGGGATTGATAAAATGTTCTCCTTTTTCCCTGAGTTTATCATTTGTTTTATTTTCAAGTCTTAAATTGAAAGATATTCAGATTTACTTTTTCCATGTAAATCTTGAAGGCACGTGATTAGGTTCTTCCATTTCGTGAGAACTATACCATTTTGCCATTAACATCGATACAGATGAGTTACTATCTTGTGGTTTAGATATATCTGGAGTTTTCTTGCCCAACTGTTATTGGTTGAAAGTGGAATACCGCCTGTTGCTATCATCCAAGAAATTGACACTGCAAAGTTCACTACTTCATGTAATGAGCGTTACGTGATTAGTCAATTTCAATTTCAAAATCAATTAATTTTCACGAATTTGTTCTTTAATTAGCATGTTGACGTAAAATATACTAAAAAAAATGTCTTTTAATGGGCTTTGAATAACACAGGATAATCTTTGGTATAGTAAGAGACTTGAAGCAGAACCCCTTGAAAATAATGAAACACAAGAGTTGATATAGCCATGGAAGGTAGGTCCCAGTCAATTTAATTCAAATCATATAAATTGGACAAATCGTAAGTATCAGGAGCAGGTTTTTGAGATTTCAAAAATAAATGAGAGACTTCTTACGAGAAAAGGATTCAGTGTTAAGATTAGAAAATAGAAACAGCTAATTTTATTGTAGATTTTAAGATTTTGATATCTTTGGAGTGCTGCGTTGCAATCGAGTACATTTTAGTCATTTATCAAAAAATTTGGGTACACTCTATTGTATAATGATATTTTGAAGATTAATAAGTCACCTTCTTGCAGTGATGGGGGTTATTTCAATGCCATTATGAGTTTTCCATCCAATTATCCAAACAGCCCTCCAACGGTTAGGTTTGTTTCTGAGATGTGGCATCCAAATGGTTAGTTGATTATCTTTTTAGCTGAAATCTTCTTCATTTACATCCAAACATTATTTGGAACTAATTTTTTTGCTGACTAAACACAGTTTATCCTGATGGGCGTGTTTGCATCTCAATCCTTCATGCTCCTGGGGAGGACCCCAATGGTTATGAGCTTGCAAGTGAGCGCTGGACACCTGTCCATACGGTATGACCTCAGCAAAATTTGATGCCATTTCCATGTGTTTTATCATATAGCTATTTTTTGTAGTCTGTTACTAAGAGGTGCATGTTGACTTGCTAAAGCTGTAATTCATATTCTTGTTTTCCCTTGATATTTGATTTAATTTGGTACGACACTCACTCACAGAAATGGGAAATAATGGAATAGCATTTACAAACTGTTTTTGTTTTTTTATCCTGATCTATTAGACTATCCCATGAATAAGTTGTGCTCAACCTGGGAAAATGATGTTCATCTATTACACTATCTAATTTTTCTTTATTTTTAATAACACTGCTCCTTGTTTATTACTTTGGTTTTTATTTTCCTCATAAATTGGTGTTCCAGCTTCTCCTCTAAAGTAATTCACACATTGAACAACATTTCTCATGTCTTCAGATTCTCAAAGCTCCATCCTGATTATTTAATGAATAAATTTTGAAAACAGATAAAAAATATTACAAGGCCCTCCACATGCACCGCCATCTTTTCACTTTACCTTTTATGGTGGGTAACCATGACTTTAACTTTTTAAAGTCATAGGTCTAGTTTACCTAGTGTTTGATATGTTATGTTAATACTGTTCACAAGCTTTAACTTTTTAAACCTCCAATTATGAAACTTATAGTTAGCTAGGTTGGACGCACCCATTTCCACAGCTTTCTGTACACCATACACAGCCACCTTAAGTTTAGCTTTTATCGAGTCTCCAAAGCCAATTGAACCAGAGTACATTGCAACCATATTACCTTCATTACTTTGAAGACACCCCCATACTGGAAGGCCTCAGGTTTCCAATACTATTACCATCAAAGTTCAACGTTACAAATCCCCTATTTGGGTTTATCGTCCACTAACAGCCCTTCTTTTTTTACGATATTCTTGATCACAGCCCAATTCCTTGAAATGTCATCCATAGAAAAAGGGCAGAATAAGTTCACCATTTTCAAACAAGAAGCTGTGTCGCATGGATGACAAAATCAATGTTTCCCTTCTTACCTTTGTCCTTGTCTTCAAAGATTCTAGCATTCCTTTTCTCCAATAGAATCTATACCATTACTGACCTTGCGACATTATTCTACCTCTTTTTTTGGCCACCTCAAGGTTGATGAGAGAACAAGTTTGCCACACAATGTGTATTATTCCACTTGCACCCAAGAGAAGAAAAAAAACCTTCCCCAAATGTGAAGAGCAAAAGGACGGGATTAGTAAATGAAAACCAGACTCACCATTGGACTTACAAGGTGTGCACCAATGTGAGGAAATAGTACAGTAAGGCTTCCTTTTTTTGCAATAAATATCAAGCATTGATCTATTCATGAAAAACTTCTCAACAAGGAGCTCCAACCATAGGGGGGAATGGTCTTACACTAAATATCTTTTACCAGAAAGGGGGGTTGACCCTGAAGAGAGGAAACTACGGCTTTGAAGAAAGAATCATGGGAAAACAGATCCAAGGGCAAAGGGCTCCATACCCATCTGTCTTCTTTCCCAGGGTCAAGGTAGATCCTCTCAAGAAAACCCAACAACAAGGATACGTCAGAAATTTCAAACTGTTCAGGTTCCTTCTCAACCCTATCTTCCAATCAAGAACCGTGGGGAAATTGAAGGCACTATAAAATCAGCAATGATGCTCACCCTTTTGAGATGAAAGAGAGAACAAAGAAGGGAAAATATACTTTAGAGATGACTCCCCACCCACAAGTTTTCCTGGAATTTTAACTTTATTATCAGAACAAGAGTCATACCTTACGTAGTTAGAGAAACACAAGGAGGATGCCAATAATAGATTTCCAAGAAAGGCGTGAGCAGATCTAGTTGAGAGGCCAGATTTCCATCCATTTTCATTCTGCCCATGAATGCTAACCACCACCTTATCCCTCAATTTGTCCTTCTCAATTAGCAACCTGTGAAGCCATTTCCCAAGCAACACCATATTCTTCTGCCAGAATTGTATTAGTTGCACTAAGCTCTAGGGGTGAGCACATTTCGGTTAAAACCGAAAAACCGAACCGATATTTCGGTTTCAGTTGAATCAGTTCAGCTTATTCGGTTGTTCGGTCGGTTTCAATTTTTTATTCGGTCTTTATACTTTTCGGATATTGTATTTGCTAAATCGGTTAACCAAATTAACCGAACTTTATAATTATATATTATTTATATTATTTTATATTAATATTTAATAATCTAATAAATAATAAATATAAGTAATTAAGTATACATCGAATTTCGAATTCGAAGATCCGAGACAAATTTGGCTACATGCCAAATTTCCTAATAAGGCAATGACGTGAAAGACTCAAACTTTCTTCTTACTCACGAAAACAATGCAAAACAAATCAGGAGTACCGGACTCTTTGTCTTCTTCTGCACTCCACCACTGCACCACTTTCCTACCTCACCTCGTACCTCCAGTCTCTCCTGAGTCCTGACGTCCACAGTAAGTCCCGGTCCACACAGTGACACAGAGTCGTCGGCTCCGCTTCGCTGCTCCGTAGTTCAGTTACAGAGTACACACAGTTCGGTTACAGAGTCCACACAGTCATAGTTACAGAGTGCAAACAGTTCAGCAGTTCACCAGTAGCCCAGTTCAGTTCTTCATCTTCACCGGCACCAGGTAACTCAGAAACCTCCTTCTGCAACACCAACACACAGATGAATACCTTGAGTCCTGAGATGATCGAGCCATTCCCCATCTCAGATTGTGGCTGCCACTTGGCCTGGTCTTCTTTTTCTTCTGCAGAAAAGAAAAGAAAAGAAAACAAAACAGAACAAAACATCCTAGTCTGTGAGAGAGGATGTGGCCCTCATGTGTTCCATACACATGAAACCCACAGCCATAAGCAGTGCTCGCAGCAGATCCGTTGTCTTACAGTCACAGCAAACACAGATCCATTGCTAAATCGGTTTAATCGAAAAACCGAATTAACCAAAAAGAAATTTCGGTTTGGTTTATTCGGTTTAACCTAACTTCGGTTTCGGTTCGGTTTCCACCATTCACAGTTCGGTTTCTGAAAGTTTGGTGTGTTCGGTTCGGTTTTAAACCGAACAAACTGTTTGCTCACCCCTACTAAGCTCCTTCACTTAAGCCTGTAAACAGTACCAGAAATTTGAATTCAAATTCAAATGATTCGGATGGAATAAACGGTCAAATTTGAATATAATTTTTGTACCGATTATTTAATCAAATCGAATTCGAATACATACTGATTTGATTCGTTAATGGATATTTATTCTAATTTGACTAACTTGTAGTGCGCCCTTTACACACGACCCAAAGCGTCACCTGTATCTACTTATTACAAAAGACAAATAAAAGTTGTTCCTGATTTACAAGCACTTCAATTGAGCCTTTCAACTTTTTCGTTTACCGAGATGCCAAAAACCTTCTTTTCTTTATCTCTTGTCTCCTCTTTCTCCCTCTTCGTCTCTCCTTCTGTATTTTAGTTTCTTTAATTTCTGCAACACCTTCCGCTCTCACATTAAGGATGAAAAGTGCAGCTCCTTCTCCTGTATTTTAGTTTCTGCAGCACCTTTGGTTTTGGTGCTCAGGATGAAAAGTTTAGAGAGAAAGTAAGGAGAACCAGCTTCTATCGAAGACAAAAAGGGCTTCTGAAGATTAAACTTCAACTTCTGTCGATTGGGGCCATAGTTGTAAAGGCGATGCCTAGGCGACAAGGTGCCTTTTGAGGCTCGCCTCGCCTAATCGCCAAGCAGTTTTGTACTATGAATTGTAAAATATTTTTTTATTCTTTATTTTTTGACATTATAATTATAAAATAGGCACTATTAAACTAAAATATTCATTTTTTGTGTTTATATACTAGTTTGTTTTTATTATTTTCTTATTTGTTAGGATTTAATCAATATAAACATTTGCTAAATGCTGTATTGAACCCTCAAAGACTTTAAAACCTGAACCAATAAGTAAGGAAGAACTTAAAATTTTGTCTAATCAACACATTTTCTACTACTATTACTGCAGTACCACAATACTACAGTACTACTACTACTACTACTACTACTACTACTACTACTACTACTACTTTTTCTTTTATTCTTTTCCTATAACAAAAATTAAGGGTTCAGCCCCTATATTTTTTGAATTTTCTTTTCCTTTTTTTTCTTCTCATGAATAAGTTGATTTTCTATAATTTAACATGAACTCTATACTTGTCTTATGAAATTATGAATAATTATTAAGGAAATATGGCTATGGTACCTAGGGAACTACCCTAGGATCTATGTTTTCTATATAAAAAAATCCTAGTCGCCCAGGCAACTAGGCACTATGGTACCTAGGTGACAAGGTGCCCCTCAGATGCCCAGCCTCGCCTTGGTGCCTTGAAAACTATGATTGGGGGCCATTGTCCAAGATTTCTTGCTCTTCCTTTGCTCTCTCTCTCTCTCTCCTATTTCTTCTTTCTTCTGGATTATGAGTTTTTTTTTTGTCTATTTTCTTTCTTGTTTTAGATTTTTTGAGTCTTTTTTTGCATTTTTAACAAGTAATGATTTTATTTTTTGAGCTTTTTTTGTGTTGTTCACATGTGATGGTTGTTTCTCCTCTTTATTTTGGTTTTTAAATTTACAGTTTTTCTTGCAAAATCAGTTATATTCGAATATTCAACATTTTAATCGAAGTCGAACTCAGATGAGATTTCTGAATATCTGACGGATTTTGAATCAAATTTGAATCACTTATTTTGTAATCAGAATCGAATTTGAACATGGCCTGATTTGATTCTAATTCGCTCCGTTTACAGGCCAACCTTCACTTCCCTAGCAATAGAAGCAAAACTTATCCAATGAAAATTTAGGTCAAATTTCTTCTACTTTTATCAAATTTCTGTAAACTTTGATTTTTCATTAGACCCTTAGGCTCAGTTTGGAAGGACCGGAGGAGTACAAATACAAATGTGTAGAGTGCAAAATTATGTATTTTGTATTATTTTTTATGTATTTACACTGTACATATTTGTATTTGTACTCCTTCCAAACTGAGCCTTAGGATAAAAGTAAGGGGCCA